TAGTTGTCTACATTAGAGCTTCGTTTTTAATAGGGCAGGCTTATCTTTCTTCGCCTCTGTGATAGAAACTGTCGAGGTCCCAACGGGACTACAGCATCCAGGGCACATACCCAGAGAGATTTCTCAGCAGTGAATGACTCTGCCTGAATGCTCGGCCACATTCCTAAAGTAGAAAGGGGTTACACAGTGGACGAGCTAACTGTGCTGAGATTCTGCAAAGCACAGCATAGCTGCTTCGGAAAGAATACCACTGTCAAGTATGAGTGTTGCTAAACTGCATAGGAGCTTAATGCTCCTTAAAAACAAACACATAAAAGAAAACTCAGCCCTCAGACATGACCTCTGGGACCTTATCAACAGTTTTTCTAGACTAGAGTGGACCGGTTTTGTTTTTGCCTGAGAACCATGACATAGAAAGATACTAAGCAATGATTGCAAAGAGTGCTTCTTACAAAAGCTAGGACTGATTTGATGGGAATGTGCATCTGTGTGGATATTTTCACATCCATGAGAAGCACAAATCCACTGCAAATGTAATTAATTTTAAAAGCACGCCAGAGTTAGCTGCAATGAGACTAACTTGTTTTTTCAGTTTATTTCCAACTCCAATACCTGTGGATTTTATATACACACACATTTGGGTACAAAAAATGTACCTGTCTTTAAGCTGGCCTTAGGAGCTCCTCCTATGCACAGAGGAGTCTGAGAAAGACTACCTTTTAAAATAGACCTGTATAAACTACCTCTATTGAGTTTAAAAACAAAAAAAAACTCAGCTACTTCAACAGGATATGCTGCTAATAAAATAATTCTACTATTATCTTTAAGATGATGGAAGTTTTTGCGGTTTTCCTTTGTTTTCTTGAGACAGGGTGGCTCACTGCAGCCTCTGCCTCCCAGACTCAAGTAATCCTCCTGTCTCCGTCTCCCAAGTCGCTGGGACTATAAGTGTGGCCCAGCTAATTTTTTTTTAATTTTTGCAGAGACAGGGGTCTCGCCATGTTGCCCACCCAGGCTGGTCTTGAATTTCTGGGCTCAAGTGATCCTTCTGCCTCAGCCTCCCAAACTGCTGGGATTACAGGCATGATCCACTGTGCCTGGCCTGATAAAAATTTTAAATTCAAACTTGCAATTTGTACATTAAGTTGACTGTTTTTTTTAAAAGGCTGGATGAAATCTTTTTCTGTGCTTAGCAGGCCCAGACATGCAGACCAATGCTGCAGACTTAGACGTTAACACTGGTAAGCCATGGGAGACGAATTTTGCGTTCTACATAAGAAGAGTAGGAACTGAAACACCAAAAATACTTCATTGTAAAGGGTATCAAGGAACATCTGTGACATAACCACACTTGTATACAGACGGTCCCTGACTTATGATGATTTCACTTACAATTTTTCAACTTTATGATGTGGTGAAAGTGAGATGCATTCAGTGGGAACTCACTTTGAGGATCCATACAACCATTCAGTTTTTCACTTTCAGGGCAGTATTCAATACATTATATGAGAAAGTCAACACTGTATTTTACATTGGCTTTGTTTGAGATGATTTTGCCCTGCCATCGGCTGCTGTAAGTGTTCTGAGCATGTTGAAGGTAGGCTGGGCTAAGCGGTGATGCTCAGTGGGTTAGGGGTATGAAACCCGTTTTCAACTTACTCTGGGGTTGTTGGGACATCACCCGTTGTAAGTTGAGGAAGAGCTGTGTGTGTTTTTGGGCATGCGTCGCTGTAATGTAAATGCTTTCTTAGGACAAGCACGGTGACCGGGATACTGAAAAGTTAGGTTACAAACCCAAGACCTTACCTGTAGAAGCTGGCAGGTCTGGTTAAGGCTTTCGTCACCTGCTGCACTTTCTGCCCTTTCTGATACCCAGTGTCGCAGCAAGAAGCAGGTGTCAGGGAGGCAGGCCTGGAAGTCAAAGTTCTGATCAAGAAAAACAGCCAAAATGAATGTTTCCTTCCAAAACCCATAGGCTGGATGCCAAATTCAACAGTTACACCATTGTTCTAAATGTCTCACAACTCCTGTTAGGAATCGCCCTCCAAATTCACAGGGGCAAATCTCGTATAGATTTGTATTTCATTGATGAGGCACAGTTTGTATTAAACACGGTGCTGTGGGGACCTGACCCAGTGACGCTCTCACATGGCCATGATTTACTGAGTGCTAGGGTAGGGGAGGAAGACAAGAATTCCACTTAGGGGTGCGGCTGGCTTCCGGGCAAATTTTGATTTGGCCAGGCTGGGTAGGAAGCATGTGAGTCCGATGGAGACACCCGAACGGTGCGCTTGCTTCAACTGTGCCCTCTCCTCCCAGGGGCCGTTTCTGGGTCTCTGAACACACAGGGTTACTTTGAAACTCAGGGCCTTTGCACAAGTTCTTCTCCGTGACTCAGCTGGCCTCTCCCTTGCCTGCTAAGGCAGATTTCTAACTCCTCTTTCAAAATTGAGCTCAGAGGCATCTCCCCCAGGAAGAAGACGCCCGGGCCCCCCACCCTTTCCTAACCAGGGCTGGAGAGGGGACTAGCCTTGAGCAAGCCACCTTAGGCCGGACACTGTGGTAGGACTGTCTCCCTGTGACCTTGTTTGACTCCAGGACACGGCACCATTGTCCTCATTTTCCAGACTCGGAAGCAAGTCACACAGCAAGCCAGGGGCAGAACCCAGAGGCAGACCCAATCTGTGCCAAGCTTAGCCTCATGTGGCCCTGCCCTGTCACTCTAATGTTATTTAGGAATTTCGAAGGCTGTCCCCTCTGCTCCACGAACTCCGGAGTCTGGCGGCTGTGGCCAGATGGTGGCCTGTCCAGGCTCAGGCGCAGCTGGGAAAGCTGGCGCTGGTGATCTGGGGGTGGCCCAGTCCCAATCCCAGTGGAGCCAAGAGGAGGTGGCTTCTTGGCCGGCAGGTGTCTCTCATGGCTAGTGGCTATGGTGGCCACAGTTCAGATGACAGGGGTGAGGGCCCTGGCAGTCACAGTGGGCACCCTCCTCACTCTGCTTATCACAGGCTAATAGAAAACAGGGCCCCGCATCTCTCTCTGACACTTCTCTCCTGAGCCTCCTCTCTCAGTTGCAACCAGGACCACGTCTCCCCGTACTCCCCTCCTCAGCACTGCAGGACTCTGAAGCTCCCAGCTCAGGGTCACACCTCTGGCTACACTGGAGTCCTATTCTGTGCTTTCCTTTCTTTTTCAATGGTTCTCTACTTTATGCAAAAGTACTTTTCATTAAATATGTGAGAACACTGTAAAATTTTATGGGAGTGAATCAACTATTTTGGGTATCACACTTACGGAAGCTTTTTTTTTTTTTTTTTAAATTTAAAAGGATAACAGGAAACAATGTTTGTTTGTTTGTTTTTTGTTTTTGTTTTGCACTTTCTTATCAGATTTATAGAGACGTGAAACTCTGTAAATACCAGATCTAGTAGGGGACAAACCCCAACAAGTAAAATGAACAGCCCTTGCTGCTTCTGCCATCTATAACTTCTTGCTCATGGTGGCCTCAGTTCCTTATCACTCGTCCTCACCTCACCTCTCAGGACTCCCCTGAAAGGTCTCAGAGGAGCTTGACCAGCTGCCGCGTTCTTCCGAAGGGCGATGTGGAGGTGATGGCAAGCAAAGCATGCTGGGCGTGAAGGGTCTGGATCCTCCCATGTGCCTTTCATGATCCGGTGCCTGGGAAAGAGTGACCAGGGTTAAAGCCAAAGAATGACATTTAACCAAGATTCTGTTCAGTTCAGTTCCAAGATGAACACAGGAGGTGCACAACTCCAAAGGTGTTTAAAGCAGCTGGTGAATGTATGTTCATACAACTTCCTTACGGGTGTGGGTTTCCAAAGACACAAAGTCAGCCCCAGGCAAATAGGGTGGTGTCCCTAGCTCCAGGGCCAGGTTCATGAGTTTCTGTCTATAGGTCTCTCTCGCTGGCATCATTGTGTTAGCCAAGCAAGACCCCCGTCACCCCCACCCAATGCATTATACAGAGATCTAAATTGCAGTGGCTGGCAGGAGGGTCCCCCCCATCTCAGCAGGAAGCCGGGGGGGCAGTCAGACAGCTTGGCTTTGGCCTTTCAGGCTGTTGTACTACCTGAAATAGTCCTGAAAAATATCTAGATACTTCTTTTAAGCACTGGGAGTCTGGGAGTGTTTCTTTTCAATAAGCACTTTGAACGATTAGCCCGCAGTGTTTATAAAGCCCCCAGTTCCTCTCTTATCTAATGGTTTGGGGCCAGGTGTGTCTCAAAATTCAAATCTTGTTGAATGTTAGAAAGATCATATACTACCTTATATTTTGCATGTGGAGCAGTGCCAGTAATGAAGTTAATAATTCTGCGGCAAAATGGATGTGAATTCACACCAAGTCAAACACATATAGATACAAATAGGCTCGTAACTTTTCAGCCGGGTTTTGACACCACATAAGGTCAAATGAGTCATGAAAAACTTGTAAGTTTTCAGAGGTTTTTTGATTTTGGATTTCTTTTTTTTTGAGACAGAGTCTTGCTCTGTTGCCCAGGCTGGAGTGCAGTGGCACAATTTCAGCTCACTCCAACCTGTGCCTCATGGGTTCAAGTGATTCTCCTGCCTCAGCCTCCCTAGTAGCTGGGACTACAGGCATGCACCACCACGCCTGGCTAATTTTTGTATTTTTAGTAGAGAAGGGGTTTCGCCATGTTGGCCAGGCTGGTCTCGAACTCCTGGCCTCAAGTGATCTGCCTGCCTTGGCTTCCCAAAGTGTGGGGGTTACAGGGGTGAGCCACCATGCTCCTGATTTTGGAATTATTTATATGTCTAGACACTAGAGGTCCAGCTTTTGACCTCAAGGAGCTGCTTGTAATCTGCTTGGGATGGGTCAAGTTGATCTACCTGGCCACCTGCAAGGCTGGGCAGTATCCAATGATGAACCCAAGGCTGTTCTCAGGCCTCTCCTGATGCCTGGTGCTCGTGCATATGCTGTGGCATGCACGCACACTTCCCTCTTGGCCGGTACAGTCACCATGCAGGGAGGCAGGGGGTGCAACGCAGGAAAGGAATTTGAGGCCCAGAGCAGGTGAGGATGTGGCAGTAAGGTTGGGCCATGGAATCCAAGCTCAGTGGCCCTTGGCCCCATCCTTTGTCCTGGCACCAAAGCTGCCCTTCCACCGCTGAGACTTCAAGGTCCTTTCTCATACATGAAATGGGGTGAGAACAACAGCTTTGGGATTTGGCATTTCTCATGGCCTTAGAGGAACGAGGGTGACTCTGTTGTTTCATGTGCTGTAGAAGTTTCCGGAAGGAAGACAGGCCTTCATTTGCTGACATGGAGGAAGACTCATTTGTTGGGGAAACAGGTGGGATTAGGAAATATACTCAACCCCTAATAAAAGTGGTCCCATAGTTTAGATTTTCTGAAAAAGAAAAGAGAGAAGAGGATGACAGTCCTCTCCTTCCTTCCATACTTCACTTCTTCCTTCCCTGCCTCTGGCAGGATTATCAGGCTGGACGCGCTTCTCAGGGAATTTGTGGTGTGGTGGGGAAGGTCGCCAGGTCCGCTAGTGGCTCCATCCTAAGGTCTCCTGAAGTTTAGGAGAAACACCCCATCCGGGGACTCCTGGACAGCCTTGCTTGCCGCCCAGATGAAAACACGCCCTACTCTTCCAGAATGTATCCTGCATGGGTCCTCCTTGGTCCCCCTTCTTCTCCAGGTCACCAGCCATGAGCCCTGTGCTCACTCATGTATCCTCCAGAGGCTTCTCCTGTAAACATCTGCAAACCTCCAGCCTGAAAGCTTTACAGGCCACTCCATTTCACATGGAAAACAGCAAGCTCAAGGAATGTACCTGAAGGAAGGGTCATTACTATGGTCCAGCCTGTGGGCAGATAGGGCTCCTGGGTCCCCTCTGCTGAGACCTGACCTAGCTGCTTAGATGTGAGACTTAGAAGCTCTCCCAGTGACCCTGCAGTGTAGCCAGAGACGAGAGCTACTGGCCTGGTCCAGCCCTTCACCTGTTGGTTTCCTGGCCTCTGGCTTCCCAGAGCCACCCAGCTGAATGATAGGAAGTCGCGCTTCCCAGTCGCAGGTGTCCTGATTCTGCAGACCTGTCCTAGGCCTAACTGAGTCGTGTAATGACTGTGAGCGGCTCCTTTAACCTTCCCCTGAATTACTGACTGAGTGGCCTCTGCGATCCACAGGACCGAGGTTTCTCTGCACAGTTGGCTTATCAGCATCCTGAGGGCAGAGGCCAGGCTGTCCCTTTCCCTAACCCCAGCCGAGAGACGGACGGCACCTGGCCCTCCCCATGGTGACTGACTGTTCCCTTCCTTGCAGTGCCAGGACTACCGGGGCGGCGCGCTGGCTGGGGACCTCTGCGAGGACTTGTGTGTGGCGGGAAAGCTGCTGTTCCAACGCTGCCTGCACTACGACAGGGGCAAGAAGGTGCTACAGGCCGACTGGCGCGGCCGGCCCGTGGTCCTCAAGTCCAAGGAGGAGGCCTTCTCCAGCTTCCCGCCCCTCAGCCTGTTGGAAGAGGAGGCAGGGGAGGGTGGCCAGGACATCCCCGAGGCAGAGCTCCTCCTGATGGTGGCTGGGGAGGTCAAGAGCGCTCTGGGCCTGGAGTTGTCCAACAGCAGCCTGGGGCCATGGTGGCCGGGCAGGCGGGGCCCGCGCTGGCGGGGACAGCTGGCCAGCTTGTGGGCCCTGCTGCAGCAGGAGGAGTACGTCTACTTCAGCCTGTTGCAGGACCTGAGCCCACACGTGCTGCCTGTGCTGGGCTCCTGTGGCCACTTCTATGCGGTGGAGTTCCTCGCCGCGGGCAGCCCCCACCACAGGGCACTCTTCCCCCTGGACCGGGTCCCAGGTGCCCCTGGGGGTGGCCAGGCCAGGGCCATCAGTGACATCGCGCTCAGCTTCTTGGACATGGTGAACCATTTTGACAGTGACTTTTCCCACCGCCTCCACCTCTGCGACATCAAGCCAGAAAACTTTGCCATCCGGAGCGACTTCACAGTAAGTGGCGCAGGGCGGTGTGTTTCTGTGCAGAGAATGGAGCTCTCAGGTCTGGTGGGAAGGAAATGAGAAGGTTTCTGAGCTTGTGTCCTGAGTTAGCAAACTACTATCGCTTCTGTAGCCTCAGAGAACTCCCACCTACCAGAACACTTCCTTTCGGGTGTCAGCAAGGAACAGATCCATCTCGAGTGAGAATCTGAGTGAACGGAGCCCCCAGTGGGAGGCAGAGGGCTGGGCCAGCTTTGTCCTCCCAGAAGGCTGTTCTGCTTCCTTCACCTGAGCTCTGTGGCTGCTTCGAGCTCACGTAACAGCAACCTCTCTTGCGGGTCTGTTTAACTTGTGCAGAAAACAGTCCGTAGGAGGCGAGGAGCTGCGGAGGACGATGCGGGAGGATGGCCTCCGGTGTGGGGACGCTGTTCTCAAGCTGCCCATGCTCTGTGACATCAAGTAACTTTCCCTAGTGCTTTTTGTCTGGAGAGGTTCCAGTCAGTTTCTATTCCATATGTAAGACTTCTAGAGGAACAAATGGGGTTTTAGTGCCTTCCACAAGGGAAAGCCCTGCCCAGGTAGAAATACTTGCCACTGCACCACAGGGCACATGCATGCTCATCTCCACTCTGGGGCCAGGCGGCTGTGTGAGAACAACGAGGTGTGGAAGAACAGCAGCAGGAGCCTCAGTGTCTCCGTGTAACACAAACCCCTCTCCCTTCACCCAGCTAGGCGAACACTGATGTGTCAGATTAATGCAGCTGCGATCATCCCGGTGCCCTCATGCTGTGCCAGGCTCTGGGACCATCCAACAGGAAGTAGTAATAAGACTGGCAGGGATGTCGTGGCTGCAGGATAAGTTTGGAGAAGGTGGCATGCTCTGCTCCCCCACCTGCTGTAACAAGTTCATTCTGACGCGGCCAGTGCCGGCAGCAGAACGGCCAGACCAGCTTAGCTCCAGTCACCTGGGCGTGCTGGTCACTGTGGGGGCCTGGTTCATGGTGGGACCATGCTCTTCAGCCTGGTTGCAACATAAAGGGACAAAAAGCAGACACTGTGACTACCAGTCATGGCCTCCAAGGCAGGTAGCCTAGGAGTGGCATGGTCTTCTGAAAGCAGCTGGAAAACTAAATTTGCTGCCAGTGTAATGCCCTCATTCCTGTGAAGGGCATCACACATCTTGCCCTGAGTGCTTTGTCCTAATGCCTCGCCTCCTGCTGCCCTGGAGGGGCTGACCAGTCAGCGGTGTCAGGGAAATAGCTAGGAGGTTCTGGGAGGTTCCAGGAGGTCTGTGCGCTGGGCTGGGAGCTCGGGGGGAACTCAGCCCCACCTGCAATACCCTGAGCATCTCCCAGACACTGTCCCGATATGTGTGTCACGGGGAATGACCCACAGCCACACTGAGGCCTTGAGGAGGAAGTCAGGGAGTATCCACGCACAACCCACCTCCCCCAGCTCCGGGCAGCTGCGGGCCAGTTCTCGCCACTCAGTCACTCCCTTATTCCTCCAGCGGGTATCAGTGGGCATCAATGAGTGGGACCCAGCAGGTGCTGTAATTGTTGCGGGAACTTCAAGGATATCCGCTTCTTGAAGGAGCCGAGGCTGATGGGGTCTGTGATGCCGAGTGGGCGACATCAGATGCTTTTACCTACATACTTGTTGATTATCCAGTTATTGGTTTGTGGGAACCACCTAAGTTGTGCCTCCAGTATCTTGCACACCATCAGCAGAAAATATTTGTTCAAAGAAATCGTGACTGTGCGTCCTCAACCTAGCACCAGACTGTATTTTGTCGGCTGGTGCTGCACCGATCAGGACTCTTACCTCCACTGCAGCCTTGGCCTGGGCAAGAATAGGGAGGGGAGGGCAGGAGGAGACCCCTTCACCAGTCCTGTTCTCCACCGTTCTTGCAGACCCTGAAGTTCAAGGAATTATTTTACCCAAGATTTTACAACTTTTAAGTGAAAACCAGCAGTATCTGCATGATCAGAGAGCTCATTTAGAAATGCAAATCTCAGACACCACGCCAGACCTATTGAACCTGAAATGGTAGGGGTGGGAGCCAGCAATCCCGGTCTTCAAAACAAGGCTCCTAGTTGATTCTCATGTGTGCTCAAGTTTGAGAGCTAGTGATCTCAGAGTCCCGGCAGGTGGGTCCTGCCTTTGAGCCCAGGTTGCTGGGCTGCCCTGGCAGAAGGAAGGGGCGCCTTCCAGTGGAGGTGTAAGAATTGGTCATTCACAGTCGTTCTCTCGTCTGTAGGGCAGGTGCACACTTGCAGATCTTGAGAATGTGTCCAGTGGCTGTAAATGAAAAACTAGGAACCTTCATGATCTGAAACTATTGCCAGTCAGTGATCTTTTCCAACAGATGGTATGGCTTCCTACTCCAGGGCCACAGTTTTTGGTGAAGAATGAAATAATTCTCATTCATCTTCCTGTTCTGATGCCAGGAGGAAGTTTGAAGAAGAAGAGGCAAGTTAGGTAATTTTATGCAGGAAGGACTTTATGATTCTCTTGATATTAAGAAACATGATGTAGTTTTTTTGTTTTTTTTAAAAAAAATACTGTTCTTATTTTAGGTGCATAGGGTTATGTTTATAAGAGTTGTAATCCATTCTAGACCCCATACACTAAAAATTAAAAAATAAATCTGGCTCTCCCTGGGAGATGAGAAGGAAACTATCAGAAATGGGAAGGAGAAGTTGCAAGAAGCTAAAATTCTAAGTAGGGGCCCGGGGGAGGCTGGGGAGATCGCGAGAAACCATAGAAAGAATAGAAAAGTCGTGTAGCCCCAATAATGAATTATAAAGATGCGAGATTCATTAGCATAGTCCTTATTCACTTTTAGTGTATTAACCGGGGTAAATAATGAAATCGGCTATTTGTTTTGGCTAAATAATGGGATAGGAAAGATTAAAATGAGAAGTTGCTTACAGCGCCTGAATTAGTAATTAGGCAAAACCCCTTAAATAGAGAAAAGGTCTGTCTGTATTGTTTATCTTCATTATTCTCCACATATTTTGAACTAAATTATTCTCCCCTGCTCTGTTTTACTAAATAATCCCCAAGAAACTTCACTGCCTTCTAGCATCAATCCTGAATGAAAAACTAAAACCAAAACCAAAAGGTGCCTCCCAAACTGCGGAGGATTGAAGAGGCAACGACCAGCAAATGAAACCCTTTTCGAAACTCCCAGAGGGAAAAAGAAAGGCTGATATTTCAATGCTGACCTGTGAAGGCTTGTGAAATGCCACTGACTCCATCAAGTTCATCAACTTTCCTAGTGGCTGTTTAATACCTCGAAGCTATAAACGGCTTGATTTGGGCAGATTCCAGGTTTTCTCAGGTTTGAGCTCATCTGTTTTTGTTGTTGCATCCAGGTGGCGGTGGAAGAGCTACATAATTTA